GTTGGAATCAGAGGTGGAAGTTCCACCTCTGGTATCAGAGGTAGAAGTCAACCCCTCCTCCCCATGGTGAACTGGGTAAACTACTTGATTCATACCTTGCCTATAAGATGCCATTGTTTTCTATGTGCTTTCTTTCTCTTTCTGCTTCTTCTTGCTTCATAGCCTTTATTTCAAGCAGAAAATAAATTCAATAATATTTGAGTTGACATGGAAGTTTTGTACTCCAGAAACCAAAAATCAGAGAAAATGCACTCATCCATTCCCATTCCCTCCAGATTGCTGGTCTGTTTTGGTTGTCTGTCCTGGTCCTTTTTCATCTTGATGACCTCCTTAGCAATATCAGTGAACAAATCAAAACACTGGGTCAAAGAGGCTGAGCTTTAACCCCAGTGTTAGGAGGAGTCCTCTCATAGGAGATAGCAAAGAAGGTGATTAGCAGTGGTGTGATTTCTTGTGCTCTGTTGCATGGCTGAGGTCCCCAGCATTTGCAGGTGCTATCTGGGCAAGGCTGCAGCTCCTGCTGAGTTTACTTCAGCAACTAACTTTGAGAAAGAGAAATATACAGGTGATCCTGTACTGATGGCTAACAGGGCTTGTGGGACTGCAGCAGGCCTTTCTGAGGACTTCAGTACTACTCTGCTTTTGTGATTGAATTTGCACTTGGATTTCTGCTGTTATTGACCTCTGTCATTTACCAATGCTAAACATTTGGCATAAGAAATTCTAGTAATTAGAGAAGCCCCAATATTGTCCATTAGCTAAAATCTTGAATTAGATAGATACTTACACTATGGTGGCCAAACCTTTAATATACAGTGCTTTTTAATAGGGAAAGGTAGATCTTTCAAAAAATGAAGCAATGCTTCCCCTTCAGATGGTGATGGAGTAATAGCCTAGTAAGTTTTTACAGGGTGGAGAGACTGAAACCAGAGAGGATTTAAAATATTCTGAGCTTCTTTTACAAGTATGAGAAAGCAGAGCTCAACTGCTTTCTAAGTTTTTTAAATGTAGAAGCTGACAAGACATTGCTTCTCCATAAAAACACTTAAAAATCAGGTGTCAGCTGCTATAAGATTATTTGAGATCCATGCTATGTAAAATGAGTAAATGCAGGTTTTTTTACACCTGTCTTTTAATGTTTTAGGATTCAAGTTTTAGTTTTTATACAGCTGTATGATTAGAACAATTTTTTATTATTATTAACAGTAGTAAATTTTGCATTGTATTCTTACTTGATAATCTTGAACTTTTAGAAAATTTTAAGTAGTATCAGCCTTAGCATCATGTCTCAAGTGGACTGTTAATATAGTCCTGGTTATATAGCTCCCTTGAAAAAAGTCAGTATGGAAATACTAATAATCAGTAATGGTAATAGAGTTTCAAACATAGATATGTGTAATGCAAGTTAGTGTGAATCAACTTATCGAAGATAACCCTGGGAAGGAAATCCATTGCTAACTACCTGGGGTTCTGTGAAAGGACAGAATCCCAACATGATTTTTCTCCTTCTTTACAACAAAATGCACCCATCACCCTCTCTGAGCTATTGGTCCACCTAATCCATATTCCACTGTACAGACACTGTTGGAGGACACCCACTTCCCACTCAATACCTCTGCATCATCCCATTTTGTTACATCCAGGTTCTTCTGAAACCTCACCTCTGTTGCCTCCTTTCTGAGGGAGCCATATCATAGAATTCCTTTTTACTCTGACGAATCTTCCATAAGGTCCTAACCAAAACTCCACTCTATGACTTTCATGTGCAAGGAGCCAAAAGAGAAAATGTAGTTGAGGTAGCCAGATCTCTGCTCCCCGATGGTGCTTGTTCGTTCTTTTCATGGGATAAAGGAAAGGGTTCATTTTGGACAACTACCAACAGCTATTGCTCCTGGGACTTGCCTGGTGCAAGCACCTCTCATAACAAAGGGCCTCTTGCTACTGCTCTGTGCAAAATCAGGTAGAATTTTGTCTGCATTAAAGTAGCTAAACCTACTAAGATATCCCATCTTAGAACATGAAGCTCTTTAAATGTTGCTATTTTTCACTGTCCTTTGGTCATCAAATTGTCATTAGTGGCAAAACTCTGGTTCTGGATACAGAAAATATTGCCTTTCCTAAATGAAATGGTGTTCCTCATAATGCATAAGAGATCTCAAGGCATGGTTTTACAATAATACCACTTTCTTGCACAGCACACATTCTGTCGACATTAGTCATTATAGTGGTACGTTGTAAATGAGGTTCTAAAATCTAAAAAAGCCTTACAATTTTACTCTTCCTTGAAGGTTCAGATTGCTGCAGTGAATTTTTAGCACCCAGACATGCTTCATTCTGAATTAGATATTTGTAGGCTCTGAACTGCAGAAAAATGCTGTGGAAGATTAAGACTTCTGTCTTGCAGTAAAAATACTGGTGTAGATCACATTGAAACTACATCATGTTACTGTATGATTTCAGAGTTATCATGTTATCAGGCTATTAAGCATGAGTCATCTTATCAAGTCTTGCCAGTCTGAATGAAGAACTTACACAATCTCTAAAATGTGATTTAGAAAGCAAGAGCAGATTGTCAGCCAGTATCCTGCTGTCTGAGCAGACAAGATATTTCTTCAGAAAACTAGGGACATGATGAATTTTCTGTGCTTTCTACGGCATGAATCTTCCCTCCCAAAGTGCCACTTGCAATTTTTGTTGCAGTTGGCAAACTGAAGACACAGTGTTTCTGAGTAATTGCACAAACAACCTTGACCATGGCAGTCAGACTGTGGCAGACCTTATCTCATTTCCCTAAGGGGAAAGCGGTCCTTAAGCCAAATGGGGCTTTCTGTATTCCCAAGATACATTCCTGGTACTGTGGTGACAGAGCAGCTCCATGATACCACACAAGGTTTACACTGATGCAGCTCCTGACTGTATTGCTGACTTTAGTTCTCCCTCCTTACTCCTGTTCACTTTCCAGATTGTCTTCTTTGCCTTGCTGTGAGTATGGAGTTCCTCCTCCTGTGTTTTGGTGTTTCTTCTGTGGCAGGGTACATTGTGAGTATGTATCGTTGAGTATAACTCTTAGAATAAACATGGACTCCTTAGTCTTTTAGAAGAAACATGGTTTTCTTAGAAGAAACAGGGATTTTGACCCCTGTTAAGAGTGATCTTTAAAAGCTTTAAAACAAGTAACAAAATATATCAAAATTTTAGATATTTGAAAGTCATGTGTTTGAAAAAGGAGGTCTCCTCCAGTGCCTAAAACACTTGCAAATTTGGAGCCTTCTGCATTTATTATACTTCATAAATGCACTGGTCGTGCAAGGAGCTTTGTGTTCCAGGTGATACTCTGAGATTTTTGCTTGCATGTGGGCTAGAATTCAATTTATTGTGGCAGTTGTTCTCTGTGCATACATTCTGTCTTGAGCTACTGCAAAACAATGCTTGAATTTTACACTTTTTTTTCCTAATTATGTGCTTCTTCCTGTTCATTTATTCCCTCCATGCTTAATTTCAAAGATCTCAAAAAAATACCTAGAAATTTGTAAAGTTTCTAGAAATCCCCATGCTGGCTCCATTCTTGACCCCACCAAAGACTCACAGTGGGTACAGTGAAAAAACCCAGGAGGAGCCTTGTGGGGAAAATCATAGGCAGTATGTCTATTGTATTTCCTGTTTTGGTTTCCACAGACCAGCCCTTGCCTGGTGCCTGGGATGTGCAAGCTGCAAAATCATTGAAACACAGCCTCTTCACCTCCCTTGGCACAGAGCAAACCCAGATACCTGCAGCTAACTGGTGACAGGTGACTGAGGAACAACTAGGTAGGCAGGTAGTCATTTGTGTTGATTTTTAGGGAAAGAATTACCCTAAGTCTGGTGGCAGTTAGCCAACATGTGGCTGTCTTTTTCAGCCTTGATGCAGTTCATTTTGTATCTAAAAATGCTTATGTGGGTGAGGACAAAGAATAAAATGAAGTATAACATTGCCATGGATGCTGCATTTGATCGGGGACAAATGTAATGGGCTTTTCTTCCTATATGAAAACAAAAGCGAAATGAGAGCAACAGCAGCTCCAAGAATTGCAGGTCATGTTCACAAAGCACAGTAGAGAGAGGGTTAGGGAGATCTTCCAAACAGTCCTGAAGAAATGAGAAGAAGTTCACAGATACTTTATCTGTCTCAGGTCACTGGAGATGATTTCTCCATCATTTGCTGTATACAAAGAGAGACACGCAGACTTTACTGTCATCTTGTACTGCAAATTTCTAAATAGTTTTCAGGAAAATGGAAATAGTTTTTCTTGAACTGAATCATGATTTAGATGTTGGAAAACAGACAATATGAAAAAAAGCAAAATGTTAAGTCTCAAAGCTAAAGGAAGGTTCTGGCTTAAGTCTTGCAGGCTTGTTTAAAGTCTCATAAGCCTTTGAACAACTGATGACTATCAGTATAGAACAGCGAAAGGTGAGCTTGTTTGCTTATTCCTGGTATTGAACACTCAAGTTTCAAGCCTTCCTTTTGATACCTCTTAAATTCAGTTGACAAGGAGATATTTGATTCGGTTGAGAAATCTGCATAAATTATGTAAAACTTCATTGTTTCTTCAGATCCAGTTGATGCTTGATTGCCACCCTGGTGTTCAAGATTAATTCAATTAAGATTTTGTTAAGATTTTGTTTAATTTTTGTTTCCTAGGTATGAACACACAATCACCATCTTTTGGGCTGCTTTTGTATTTTGTCAGAGAATTAAGCTTCTAATAATTTTGCCACTAATACTGAATTGGCTTGTTTGAAAAGCAATTTTCTCTTCAGTTGTATGTTGCAGGGATGTTCTGAGAATGAGAAATGAGGTGCTTAAAACCAGGCGTAGTTTTGAGGCATGCTTTGAAGGACATGAGATGAGTGTGAAATGGGTGGGTTTAGCTAAGTATACAGCTGTTTCATTTTCCCATGCCAATGTTGTCATGCTTTGAGAGTGCTGAAGAGTGGGGTTTTGCTCTGTCTCTCTGCAGGCGAGAAGTAAATATGAGCTTGGCAACACATGACTATCAGTGCCAGGACACTGTGATCTGAATTGTCTTCAGCTGACTTCCCAGCGGCCAGGCGCTGTTCATCCTGTACCATGGAGGACTGCCTTCACACCTCATCTGAAAATCTCTCCAAGCTGGTGAGCTGGGCCCACAGCCATGGGACCATCTGCAGCCTCATCCCCAACCTCAAGCACCTCCTTTCCGAGGGGGCCCATGGCAACCTGACTGCCATGTGGGGCTGTAGTGCTGGCCATGCCTACCACTGGCCCCTAGCCGCCACTTGCCGGGCTGGCTCCCAGGAGCGTGTCTGCTTCCAGGACAGCCGCAGCTTTAACTCGGACAGCCCCAGCATGCTGGGGGTGCCATCAGAGGCTCAGGCTAGCCCCCTGGAGCGCTATCCAGGCCGGCCAGTGAAGGCCAAGCTGGATTGCACCCGCACTCGTGACTCCTGCGACTTCTCCTACTGCAGCGAGCCGTCAGAGCTGGGCGAGCCTGTGGAGGAGTACGAGGATGAGGCCACCCTCTTCGACATGGTGTGTGAGTCCTCTGTCACCGACGAGGACAGTGACTTTGAGCCACACCCCCACCGTGCTTCCACCGGCCCCCGCAAGCGGCCGGCTGCCGCGGCCCAGGCCCAGGCGCAGCCTGCCGACGAGGGTGGCGGTGACGTGCTCCTCAAGAAGATAAAGCAGGAGCTCCCTGAGGACTATTATATAGTGGCCAACGCGGAGCTGACGGCTGGCGCCGATGGGCCGGCCCTGGCCCTGACACAGATGTCCAAGCCCAAGCCACAGCCCCCGGCTGGGCCCTCGTGCCTGGGACCCAGCAGAACCGTGCCCCAGCCGGGCGCGGGCCCCGAGCCCGACCCGCAGCGCCCCTGCGCCTCCCCGCCCGGCCCGCCCCGCCTGGCTGCGCAGCGGCCGCCCCGGGGACCCCTGGCTTCCCCAGCCTGGGGGGCAGGCGGTGGCCCCATGGCTGCCCTGCAGGTACCAGCCACCAGCTCCAATGCCATCACCACCCCTGAGAAACCCATCAGCATCCCCCTCTCAGCCCTGCAGCTGCCTGGTCAGGAGGAGCCGCCGGTGGCTGCTGAGGAGACCCTCCCGTCCATCCCACACCTGGTCCCAGGTGGTGAGGTGGCCGGCTCACCCTCAGTGGGCACTGAGCCTGAGGTCAGCTCCAGCCAGCAGCAGCCCCACGCAGCACCCACCATCACCCCTGAGGCAGCAGCGCAGCTGATGCCAGGTAGGACATTGGGTGGGAGTGGAGGGGTGGTGGCATTTTGGGGCTGACCCCCAGGGCTGGCTCTGTGAGGGTACATCGGGGGTGTATGTGCAGCGTTGCATCAGGGTCCACTGGTACATAATTCAGTAGGTATGGAAGCCACATAAACTTGGGAGAGGATTCAGAAAACCTCAGCTAAGCGCCTGCACATGAGAAAGTGTACTGCAGCCATAGGCAGAATGGGTTTTAAGGTCAATTTTGAGTGCAGTTGTACTGTCATGGGAGAGAGCATGCAGTGACCTTGCTGTGTGCAAGGGTCAGGGAGGACATGAACTGGGCCATGCACTCTTTATGAACCAGAAATAAGTGATCTCAGCCAGTGTAGCTTAGAGTTGGAGGATTTGGTGTTTCCTTCACCTTGTCAGGTGAGTACTGTTGGACCTGGAAAGGCAAAGGAGAGTACCAGGAAAGAGGTTTTAGCTTCTCTAAATTGTTACCTATAAATCAGAGCAGTCTGCGGACACAAGAAGTATCAGTACAACCTTACCATAAAACTGATAAGACTTTAATAAAATGGTTTTTTTTTTGTTTTCCCAGTGAAAGTTCTTACACTGTGACCATAATTTTTCTTATCTCCTGCCAAAGCACATAGAATTGGTGCAAACAGATCAATATTATTGGATAAAGAGCATATTAAAACAGCTGACTTCTGCTGAGTGATTATCCCATGTGGAGAATAACTGTTAGCCACAGGTCTTTGGAAGTAGGTGGAAATCTGTTTCTGGAGCAGACTTGTCAGCTCCCTGTGGATCTGGGCACAGACCGTTCTCATTCTTCCAGCTTCTTCTTTAGTGGTGCCATCCAGGACGAGACGAGGCTAGAGCTAGTTCTCCATTTGCTCCCTTGCTGGTTAAGCCTTGGACTGCCTGGTCAGACAGAGTAAAGACAAACAGTGAAAGGGCTAAAAACTGCCTTTATGCAGCCCTTGTGGCAGGTATGGTGAGAGCTAAAACCCTTTCATTTGAACATCCTGAAAATCTGATTGAACACTAGTAAATCTATCAATTGGCAAGAGTCTGCAGATCTTCTTGCCAGGTAAAACAACAAAGTTAAGTACAGAGTTTTACTAAGTAAAACCCTAGTAAGCATTAGAAATTTGGAAGGATGATAATTGTCTTAGTTACAGCAAAGCAAATTCTTTGCGACCCATTTCTTGCATGACTGCATCTCTGATATGTTATTTTGCAGTAGTCTTGTCATATAACATCCCTCATGGAAATTCCCTTGCAAAATTCCATCTGGTTTAGAACCAACTCTGCTCTGCTAAATATGAGAAAGGCATATGAGTGGCCTGATGCCACTCAAACCAAATTGTGTGCTAAATGTACTTATTTTGCCTTCCTCAGTTTATTACCTATCACTGCTGTATGTAGACCTGGTTTCTACCGGCCTGCCTCTGCAACTTGCTGTGTCTCAAACTTGCAAATTTGGGACAATTGAAGACAAACCAAAGCAGAATTTTTCTGTGTTAGATGTGTGTTATTTGGGAGAGATATTTCAACAGATCCACTAAAAAATCCAGGCTCCTTTCAACTGTTTTTGAAAGGTCCTCAGAAGCCGAACAAGGTCAACAGTTGTTACTGCGTAGCAGTAACACTCAAATACAAGAATGGATGCAGCACAACATTTCAGCATTTATATATTTTCAAAAACAGGATTGGTCCACGTCTAGTGTCTCACTTTGAGGGCAAAGTGGATTGCACCTGGGTTACACCCACTGCCTAAATCAACCCTCTAAACCTCCGAGTGCTTTGCTTTTTGCATAGACAGTGATGGGGTTCTCAGAGTGCTTTCCAAATTTCAGTTTATTCAGTTATGTTCTCAGTGGTTAAATTTCTTGTGCTATTCCCAAAAAGCATTACACAATTCCTCTCCTCAGACTGGTACAGCATTGTTGTCACATGCTGTTATTTTACCCAGAGGTAGTGGCATTTTAATAAAGATAAAGTGATGTGACATATGACGTGAGTAAAGTTCCCCATTTCCATAGAGCCTTCTCCTTTGGGAAAGAAGTGCTGGCATTATTAAATGTTCAAGTTGCAAAAAGGTGGACAATGTTGGAAATTGAATTTATTACAGATGCACAACAGATTCTTGCAGGTAAAATGTAGAGGTTTGATTAAAGACTAGATTAGGGTAGTTGCTCATGTACAGTGGTTTTGTTAGATTGTCTCCGAACAAAGAGTGATGTACTGAAAGTGGTGCATGATATATAAAATTTGAGCAAGAGGATATTTATCTATCCTGTGTAAAAAATTTCTGTCCTAAATAGACAGATGTGAGTCTTTTACATTCTGATGTAAAAAAAAAAAAAAAAAAAAAAAAAAAAAAAAAAAAAAAGGCAGGAACTAATCATAGTAATCATGTCAAAAAGCCTAGAGCTTTTATTAATTTATAGACTCAGTGCCTGCTTGACTATACAAAGTTGAAAGAGAGCAGGGGATTTAAATTCTGCCTTGTCCTCTCCAATATCTGGAGCCTTGTTCCTGGTCCCATTAGAACTGGTGATGTAAGGTCTATGGTCTACAGGACTAAGACCTTATTTAAGTTATGATTAAAGGCTGCAATCCAACCAGCAGGAAATACTGCTTGAGCTTTAGCTGAAGCGACATATCCTTGCATTTATAACCAGGGACACCTGATAGTGTACATGCATGATAATCCCATAGATAATGAAAGTCTGAGTGAGATCATCCATGTAATCAAAACTCTGGATGATATATGTTAGCTTAGGCCAGTTCAAGCAACCTTATACTTTTGGACTAGTCTCTCTTTCAAACACTTTTTTGAAAACTCATTTAAACTCATTTACTCTTTTTGATTAAGTGGTGGCAACTGAATGTGTAAGCAGGGATCTTATGAAGATACTTTCATGTCTCAAAAGGGAAGTGGCATCCCAATGACAATTCCGTTAGGTTAGACACTGGTTTTTATGTTTAGGTGTCCATCTAAACACTGTGGAATATACAGAACTGTTTTTTGTTACATTTCAGCACTAACAAGTGGGCATTCATCTGGGAGTTTTCAGATTTTACTTCACCATTCCAATAGCAAAGATTTCAAGAATGTATGCAGGTATTATTTAGTCTTTGCTTTAACTCTGGAAAAACTGAGAGGACCTGCATGTGTTAGGAGAGGAATTTTTGCAGATGTGGAGAGCAGGGAATTTCAGCAATTTCTGCTTCTCAAACTACCTCTTCTGTCCTATGTTTTTGCTAATACTTGGGCTGGTTATAATGTTCAAGAACCAGCAAGGGCAAGATAAATCACATCAGTGGAGATGGAAGATGAGTAAAAAATACAATGCTTTAGGTTGTAGTACGTGCTGCTGAGAGCAATTTGTGATATTTGGATGTCTGAAATGAGGAATGGAAATTATTTGGTTTTATTGCAGAAGGCTATGGAGGGAGACTGTGAGAGAAGGAAAGAACTTATTTTGAATGAACACAAATTTTGATTCTGACAGATGTAGGATTTACTTTGTAAAAAGAATTGCTAAAGAATTTGTGAAGAATACTGAATACCCACTTGAAGACTGATGCTGAAGATGTGTTTTGTATTAACAAGACAGTGCAGCAGGACATTTCTGATTCAATACTAGTGCATCACTATAAATACAGGAACAAAGAGTCGCATGATAAAAGAAAGATATCCAACCCCTATGTACAAACTGTGCTGAATGTAGAGTAGTAAGCAGAGATGCAAAATAAGAAATCATCTAAATGTATTGACTGGTGTTGTTGCTTCTGTCAGAGATGTGGCAGATTACATTCTGTGTGTACCATCACAATGCTTTTGTGTACATCCATCACTGAACTCACCTGACTGCTTGTTTTATGTGTACAGGCATTTTCAGAGTTTGGAGGGAAAAGAGTATTCACAAGCACCTCTCCTCTCATAGTCAGAGTGGTGCTCACTGTCCTGGCATTGTGGAACCAAACCGTATCCGTGTTTGAATGTGGGCTGTGATGGATGCTGGGCTGTGCTGAGGGCTGTGCTTAGCCTTCCTGGCTCTGATGTCTCTGCTCTGAGATCCTCTCAATTCTTTCATTTGCTGTAACTGGTGTGTCAGTCCAGGTCAGTGCGTGAGTCCCCTCAGCCTGGTAACTGAGGCAAAGATGTAGTTCTGTTCCTGTACTCCCTTCTTGGGAAGGTGTAAGCAGGATTGCAGCCTTTCACAAGTGGGACCTAACATGGGTTGAGTCTTGTTCTGCTCTCAGTGTGAACATCCCTGTAGGTTACAGGTGTTTGCATAAGTCTCTGTCTGAGCATGACCATTATAAAATGGAGTGCATCTAGGACTTGTTGGATATTGATGTAGAGCTCTTAGTGGAATATTTTAAGTATTTTTCTATAATCAGAAGAAGTAGGACCTCTCCCTTTCCCCCCTTCTTTCTATCTACAATGTCTGCAATGGTGTGTTTAAATTAAATGGGAACCAAGATCCTCATATAAGATTTGTGGATTAGGAGGTGTTGGATGAGCATCAAAATGTTACAAAACTTCGAGGTGAAAGGAGTCTCTTCACACGTTATGAACTGACAGTTTTGACTATATTTAGCTCTAACTTCTAAATCACTGTTTATCTATTAAAAAAAGTGTCAGCCTCACACATTCCAAAGAAGTGCAAACAAGAAAAAATAACACCATTTTAGGAGTCTATATAAAGCATACATAAAGGCAGAATTAATACTTGTTGTAATTATTTCAAGCCCAGTGGAACTGTGCCAAGTAGTACAAGAAAAATAATCATATCAAAATAAATTTACAAAACTCTTATTTACATAATGTTCTTCCAAGAACACTCAAATAACTGCTGAGTGGTCTCTATATTTGTGGTTTACATACAAAGATTGATGAGTTTTGGCTAAAATGACTGCTTGAAGCCTATTTGCAGGGACATATGCTGCTGAATGTGGTCAAGTGAACACTTAAATATATGTAGAGATGAGACAGTCTCT